AGATTAGGGCCCAAAGTCCTATGGTTACACTGAGTAAAATAGTAAAACTGTCAAGCCCCGAATCTTTTGAAACTTGAAACCCTAAACAAAGGCAGGAAGAAACCCGAAAACGTCTGAGCACCCAAACCTGCCAATGGCACAGTGAAGCTGAAACTGAAAGCCTAAACCCTGAACCCTTAAACCCCAAACCCTAAGCCCAGGCCCGAAGCCGCCGTCCACGCCCGCGCCGAAAGCCACGGCAGCCCAGGCGCCTCGAGCAGTTTTGTTTGGGAGGTGTTCAAGGGTTCAATAATGGATTGGGAAGGTGTTTTGGTAGGTTTTTGAGGGGTCAATACTGGATTGGGAGGGCTTGCTGATACTGCAGGGTTTTGGGAGCGTTTCGATATGATGAGAACTGGAGAGGAGAGAGAGGGGAGGTTCAGGGATGTGAAATTTAGATACAAGGGTTCGAAGACAACACAAAGCTTTGGCTCAGGGGATGTTGGGCCTGGAGGTCAGTAGTGTAAATTTTATCGGGTTTAGGGTGTGTGTGTGTGTATTGTCGAACCGGTTAGGGGGTCATGTTGTACAGGATTGATAAAGTTAAGGCTTTGTGGTGTACAGGAGCTCTGTTTGTTTTTAGTGTCTTCGGGTTTCAGCGTACCGCAAACCCTCAACCCCAAACCCTGTCAGTGTCGTTTGTCATGTTTCGAGAACTGAGCCGGGTTCGCGGGCGGGATGCCGCGAGGCCGTGCGCAATACATATCGGAAAGCCCCTATCCCCCTGTATATACTTATAGTAACCCATGTAAAACCCTCAAAGTACCTCTTCATAAGGCCCTTCAGTACCTTCCATTTAAGTTTCCTTATAGCAACCCTGCAGAAACAATGTGAGACCGTATGGAAATCCTTTAGCTTTATGAAACCCCAAAGCCCAAGCCGTACCCCGCACCTGCATGGAAACACATACGATGGAATACTTTGTGCAAGATCTTGTTGGAGACCGGACACCTTCAATCTCTACGAACCAAAGCAATGCTCTCTTCTTATGATGGACGAAGACTAGGGGGACTGCTCTGGGTCAGGATGCCTTGCAAAGGCTCGTTCTTGCATCGGTAGCCAGGTGATTTTTTGGGAGATCTTAAGTTAAAGCTCTCCTTTACCACAGACCTTAACGTGACATTTCCTGCATTTTTCTTCCAGGATGCAGACCCCTGGGACAGCGGCGGCGACCCGTGGATGCAGGCTACCAAAGGGAAGGGCGGAGGCTTCCCATTGGGGGATCGAGCCCTGAACGCGACCCCCTAACAGCTACTCTACACCCTAGCCCCTTGTTCATTTTGGCACTATCCTTCACCCCGACAGCCCCTCAACCCCACGCTGCGCTAAGTCGGCTCCTTAAACAAACTATGATTGTGAATGAATTTGAGTGTCACTGCCATGGCGACTGGTTTGGGGTCCTATAAAAGAGGGCGACGAGTATTTGAGTACGGAAGGGCGTTTTGCTTTGTTTGTTTAGGCTTTGGGTGCAGAGTTCACGGTTCAGGGTGCAGGGTAGTTTGGCTAAAGGGTGTAGCGTTTAAATTTCGGGATTAGAGTCCAGGATGTCCGGATTGTATACCTGAGCCCTACATAGGGTTAAGACTAAGACACCTGCAATTTAAGGCTCCTTTCTATGATTTCCTTGCAGAAAACATTGAACAGTGAGTTTTTTCGGGCTGAGGTAGGGTCTAGACAGGGTTCAGGGCCAGTTCAGGGTGCAGGGTTTTGCGCACCATTTCCAAGCGAGACCTTGATGCAACGAAGGGTTTGGTGTAATATAGGGGCCTTAACAAATACCTATGCTATTTTAGGGGTTCCTCACTCTATAACTATAGTATTATATACCCCAAACCAATTTCCTTTTCTAATTTTGAGGGTCCCTGCATTACTGGTGTCCCTTGCCACCTACGGACCTCGATGTTTTTTTTCAATCGTTTTGGTTCCAAGCTCGATCTCAGCCTCGTTTGATCTCGTGGTTTCTAGTTTCAGAACGAGTTAGTATCTTCACCGAGAGTTAAAACTGAGCTCATGTCCACAGGTGTCCGGAAAAAAGAACGCGGGCAAGAAGCAACCGCAGGCCTTGCTCTGGTGCATGTGGGTCCAGGGTGTCGTCTTTGCCTTGGGATTGGGAATGTCGTTCCTCTAGAATTTCGGGTGTCATATACAAGGACCTGCCGACGGCTTCTGGGCTTATGTGCTTTGAGTGGGTTTCCTTGTTGTACTTCAGCTGCAGCTTCGCCAGCAAAGACAGGTGGACAGATTCTTCTCGGGTACTATGGGGGCCTCAAGAATTACCAATAATTGCCAATAATGTTTTCGGGGTTGCTTCTTCTGGTTATAGTAATATAGTAGAATAAACCCCACAACTACCACAACCCAATGTTTTTGGGGTTGCTTACTGTGGTTGTAGTAGAACATACACCAAAGCCCAATTCGAATCACTCAGGCCCCTTACATCAAACCCCTATTAATGGTAACCCTTATCGAAGCTTTCATACGAATCCGCACAGAAACTCTATTCTGATTATTAAGGCGCCTGCAGTACCACAATGACCTTCGCGGATGTGATTGGTCAAGCCCTCTAGCTGTCTAGCTGCTTTGGCCCTGAAAGGCATATTGATAATATCTTCGTCCAGCATCGGTGGTCTCATCACATTGCCCCCGAGACTCTACAATGCCTTAACTCAGGAATGTACCTTTAACCGTGTTAGGCTTCCTGCTATAATTTCGGAATATATACGTTAATTCATATTAGGTTTTTCTAGGGATTTTCCTTAATTAATAGGTTTCAGAGTCTCTGGGACTAAAAGGACGAAAAGGACTCAAGGGTTCGCAGCTTGCCTTACGCCCCTATGGAACCCGCAACAGGGCCCGAAACAGGATTTAGGACTTAGGCGTTCTTATGAAGGGCCTGTTTTGTTGTTTGGGGTGCCGCATTCATGAGAGGAACGCACCATTACATTTACAAAGAGCTGAATACCCCTTATTCAGGCAAGACACATTTTTAGCACCTGTTAGGGATCTCTGTCATGCCAGGGCTCTACATAGCTGTTGAGGGCCGGACTCAAACCTTCCATGCTTCTTTAGTTCCTGAGCCCTACCTCCCGACACGTCCCTACACCCTTCGCCTGACATCTGTAGTTTGTTCCGCTTGTGCCTTCATGAAGCCGGGTTTGGGGGTGTAGGGTTCAGGCAGCAGCGCTTTTTCAGTCTATGGGTGGGCTTACGCTTGAGGATATCAGCAGGTAAACCGTAAACTAATGAGAGTTCAGGTTTTAGGGCATCAATGAGCATTGATGGTTCAAGGCATCAGCATTTGGGATGTCACCGCCGGCCGGGCACAAGCCAGCCTCAGCTGAATACTCCGAGATGTCCCCACTGGAATGCCTCAACCCTATAAGGCTTAATGAATCAGATCCCAAACCCTAAACGGTGCAGTTCATCCCGACTCCCAGCCCCCAGAGCACCTGAAGCCCCCCAAAACGCAAATCTAAAGCCTAAATACTGAGATTCTCCAGGCTCATTCCCTAAAGGGTCCATGTACCCAGATACTTTGGCCCCAAAGTACCAATATAGCGACTACTTTAAGGCCTTGGATACATGGACCCTCAGGGATCGGCTCTGTCTGAGTTTTTGGGCTGCAGGCTGCAGCCGCCCCCAGCACAAGCAGCAACAAAGCTCCAGCTGCGGCAGCGCCCTCCACGGCGGCAGAGAAGGAGAGAGGGGTCTTGGGCTTCGGGATCTGGATTGGGTTTAGGGTTTAGGGGGACGAGGCGGGCAGTTTGGAGGCACTTCAGAGAGACCTCGTTCAAAAAGGGGTTAATTAGCGATGCAGACTTTAGCGGTTTGGGGTTTGGGGTGTTCAAGATTTTTTCGGCGGCTGAGATTCCGGTAAGGTTTGGCTACGCGATGTCAGAGTTCGTAGATTGTGATGGGCAAAGGGTGGCAGTCTGTAGAGCATTATTAAACAGCTGAGGATCTTTCCCAAAATTGCAACGGCATGTTTGCATCCCGTTCTTACAGCCAAGCCGACCGCCATTGCAGCATCATGTTGGATCCCCAGACAGACCCTAGCCCTAAACCCTATAAACCTTTACACCCCTAAACCCTAAACCTCTACACCCCTGAACGCAGACCTCTTCTGGCGCACACCTGCAACTATTGAACCTCAAGGCCGACTGCCAAAAGGGCTCACGGCCGAAACAGTAGCGGAAAGGCTTACGGCTGACGATAGCACTAGTCACTTAGGATTTAGGGCTCAATAGTTTGTAAGCACTGTGCCTTCATCAATGCGGAAGATGCGTTCGGAGCATGAGTCGTGTTGTCCTAACTCACGCAGCCAGCTCTCGGATAAGAGTTCACCATGATGGGACCCTCGCTTTGGAGCCTCCAGGCGTCCACCACGCGAAGCAGTACAAACAAGGCGGCTCCACAGAGTACCACACCTGTCGAGGTGTCGCAGAAGGACCACGACATGTTCTAGTCAGCTTAGTAAGCTTTCATGCGTGAGCGGCTTTGATCGGCTTTGCTTACCTGCAGTCATCAACTCAAGTTAGACTGGCCTCCGCTAGTGCTTAGGTAAGGAAGCACCGCCCCTGGGTCATCTTCTTGCAAGTGCTGTTATTTTTGCTGCTCTTCACTTTCAAACTACTTTCGTAGCTGCGGCTGCAGCAACAGTTGTAGAAGTCATCCCAGTCGTCGTGGACGTCGCCCTTGTTGTACCTAAGAAATAGGAGGAGGAGGAGAAGGAGGAGGAGGAGGAGGAGACTAGGGGTAGAGCTGGTGATGGGGTCGATCCGGGTGGCGGCAGTAATTATTGGGAACACTTGTGCATGGACTACAAGCAGTAGTGCCAGATTTCGTATTCGATGCCGACGCAGCGGTAATGCAGTCGCTGCCGTGATGGGTTGGCAGTAGTTGTCACGTCGTTAGCTGCGGAGAGTAAATACACTCAGGCGCATGCTTTCAGTGCTGTCTGCATGCTGTGCTCAAGCCCCGAAACCGTCGCTCGGGAAATGGCCACCCTGCTTCGACGCCAGGGACGTTGTTGGAGGAGCACAGAGGGTCTTGTAGAGTCTTTCTGGGGGGGGGGGAAGGTTCAGGATTTCCGGCTGTTTGGCTTGAGAGAGGGCCGGTTTCAGAATTTTCATGCGAAGGTTCCTGCAAGTATGCGATACCAGTTGCAAGTTCAGAACTCGTACTAGATCCTGATCTCTCAACCTTCAGCTGGTCCCAGTTTGAAGGTTCGTCTCGGGTTTGGGAGATTCGGATCGGGACAATCCCTGTAACGCTCGCTTCGGCTCGTCTGTCTCTGACCGACCGTGCGGTTTCACGGTTGATAGTAGAAGCCCAGGAGTCGGAAACCCAATAGCCTGCATCCTTAAGAGTACTGTATAAGGTATCTCAGCACTATTTGTCCTTAATCCGGTGTCCAACTTTTATGGGTTTACGATCATGGTATAGGGAGATGTTCGCTGCCAGAGTCCATCTGAATAAGGTCTGCGAGTGTGAACATGCCGAAGGTATTGCAACTCTTGTGGGCGTACCGCAAGGAAGACCCGAAGCTGCTTCTGCACCTCCTCCAAGAGAGCAGCTGATGTTGAGAATCTTCACGATACGGTTGACGATACAGATCCTGCATTACCTATAATAGGGAATATACCATATTTCCCATAGTTTTGGGTCTTTACCCTAAAACCCTAAAACCCAAACCCCTAAACCCTTTGGCTGAAGCCCTAAAGCCTCTGAGACTGAACAAGCCTCGAGCCTCGAAGGCCGAGGCCTTAGATCCACACCACTAGGCCCTAGAGGCCTTCCTGACTTTAGGGTTTGGGGGTCAGGGGTTTAGGGGTCAGGGGTTTTAGGGTTAAGGGGTTTAGGGTTAAGGGTTTGGGGGTTAGGGTTTCAACCCTGGCGTGCCCAAAAATAAATTCCGAAATCCGAAACAGAACCCCAATCCCAAAGTCTGGAGGAGAGGGCGTTGTGTTCCTCGTGGCTTCGGCTCGGCATTGCAGAGGCACCGGGCGACTATGGCCGAGCAGGCACAGGCAGCGCCCCTTCCACTCCCATTATAGAATTATAGGGCCTCAATAGTCAGTAAAGTTACTTGCCTCCAATAATAAGAGTAAGAAAACGAATTCAGGCACAGGTCAGATAGAACCCTACATTACCCCTATAGAACCTGACAGAACCTTACCCAACTAAAATGCGGCAGCCCCACACGGATGCCCGACCCGACAGAGCATTACAAAACCCCTTCCCTCAGACCTCTAACAACAAATCCGACAGCCAAGCACGACTGCATCTAGTTCCACAAGTCCTTGTCATTTGAGCCTGCACAGCTCTCCCAAGTAACAGCAACCCGAAACCCACCACACCCAAACAATCCCTACAAGAATGTGGATAATTCTCTAGATTCGGATCCTGTTTATAAGGATGCCATTTTGGGGACTTAAGAAGGGGCCCTTTAGAGAACTACCCATATGATATAGCACCCTAATATAGCATCCTCACATCGATTTTGTTTGTTAAAGGAGCCCTGCAAAGCGACCCTATATTAAACAACCCTAAACCCTAAACCCTAAATTAGACAACCACCCGTGTCGGAGGCCAACAAAGATTCCGCATTTATCGACTGGACGTGGGCGGCCCTTCCCTGGCGGCACGGCGAAGAAGGCGGCGGTCTGGGCAGAGTGGCAGCTGCCAGGCTAAGCAACGGTTAAGGGTTTAGGGTTTAGGGTTTAGGGATGGGTGAGTTTTGATCATGATTCTTCTTTGTTCTGATGCTGTTACCATCGTTGTGAACCTCATGGTTGCATTTGTGAGGACGGTTACCATTCATGTGATGGTGATCTGTGCGCTTCGTCGCTTTGGAATATCTGGTAAATTCGGTATACTGTATTTATATACTTTATATCTAAAATAAAATTTGCCCGCATATTTGTTCTGATATTTCCTATATATTCAGGACCTTCCCAATTCGGAAACACAGAGAAATGATGACACATGACAGATCCAGATATTTCTATCGATATTATTTTTATGCCTTCTCTCTATCTCTATTTGGTTCTTTCTATCTCTTGTCTATTTGTCTGATTCTCTCTATTCTTGCTCTTATAGTGCTATGGATTGTGCTGCGGGGTTCCGGGCTTGGGGTTTGGAGGACCATAGGGGATCCGGGATTCTGGTTGAATTTACGCTTTGAGGTGGCCTCCCGGCAATTGGGCTTCGGGTGTTCAGTTCTTGCAGTTAGGTTGTAGGATGGGGTCTGATGGCTCAGGGCTTCAGAAGGTCCGGCTTTCGACCGTTCTCGTGGATAAAGCCCTCGTAGAAGTATGAACTTGGGGACCATCCCCCGCCGCACACCCGAAAAGTCCGGGTGTAGTGATGCCGACCCTAAGTCCCAAGAAGCTGCTAGCCAAGGACAAGTTTGGCCTCATTCTTCTCAGCACGCCCATGTCGCGGGAACTGCTGGATGCTACATGGTCCATGACTGGGAGGCACATTGTAGCAGATGGAGGCCCCTCAGCAGCTTAAACGGGCAAGTCACTGCAATACTGTGGTGCGAGGCTACATGAAACCTATTAAACGAGGCCTTTGTCTGAAGATCGAAAAGTCTTTATATAAAGCATGGGATTGCAGAAATCAGTGATCTAAGTATCTACATAAGTTAATTAAGGTTGAGGGTCAACCAAAGGAAGTAAGTCTAGTTTGCAGGGATCTTGGTGAGCTACTGAGTCTCTTATATCGGTTGGTGAGGGGAGGAGACTGAAGATTTTGATGGATGCCGAACTCCCAACCCAAACCCAGCAGCGGCCTCACGATCTCGACTCTGCATGTCCTCAACCCGACTCCCACGATCCCAAATCCTGAAACCCAAGATGCAACCCCAAGCACTCAATCATGCCGGATATTTGATCCGAAAGCCCAATTCCAGATCTCCCGCCAAACTTCTAAGCCTTGAAATGCTAAAACCCTAAAAACCCTAAGCCCTACAACCGCCGCCAACCCCTGCCTCTGCTTCCAAAGGCAAAGCGCCGAAAGCCTCGACCACCCGGGTGCCAAGGTAACCCTCGACCCTACTACACCCTGAATCGGGCGACCCACACCCTGAGCCCCTAAACCCTTAATCCCTGAACCCCAAACCTATAAGCCCTAAATCCTACTGCGGGCTCGTCCTAGCTAGGTGGGAGGCAGAAAAAACCCTAAATCCCCTAAAAAACCCTAAACCAACTATACCCCTAAACATGTGGGAGGCAAAAAAGAGCCCTAAACCCCTAGACCCTAAAACTTCCTGGCCCCCTAAACCCCTAAAGCCCCTAAAACCCCTAAAACCCTTAAAACCCCTAAAACCCCTAACCCTCCCCCCCCACCCCCCCAAGGTGCCAAGGTTCTTTTAGCCACAGCCCCGGAGCTTCTCCCAGACCTGAGCCTCAGCTGCCTTTCAGGGCTTTGGGGTTTAGGGTTTAGGGCTTTGGGGTGTGAAAGGGGGTACGTTCGGGATCTAGGGCAGTTTAGGGTTTAGGGGCCTTTGTTAACTAAGGGTACGTTTGGGGTTTAGGGCAGTTTAGGGTTTAGGTTTTTGATAAGGGTACGTTAGGGCTTTAGGGCAGTTTAGGGTTTACGGAAGTTTAGGCTCTGGGCAATATAGAGGTCGTAAACCTAATCTGTTGCACTAATACACCCTTGCAGTTCTTGCTATAAGACGATGTTGTCCCACGACCATACTATAACTATCACTGGAGGGGATGTGGAGGTCGCAGAATTTGTAACCAGAGTCCCTTGTAGTCCCACGTACACGTAAACTATACATGCTGTTTCGGTAATACAGATACTCCAGGCAATCTTACTAGCAGCAGTAGCGGTCGCGAGTTTGATGGTTCTCGATGATGTTATCACTGTGTGCTTCTTATTTTCCTGCACGTGCGCGGGGAGGATTCTGAATCGTGAGTTTCATGCTGAGGGGTCCTAGCACATGAAGCTTTTGGGACGTCTGCAAGAACCTGACTGTACGCATGTATGTTTGTGGCGGTAGATCATCCTGATTTGTAAGTAAGCGAGTACTTCTCACTTGTGCACGGCCTGTGACAGTGGACACGGAAGTGCCATTTGCGCAAGAAGGAAGATCGGCCAACACCCATGTATGTATGCATTTACGTACATGAGTAGGCAGACATGTACACATGAACAGCTGGTTTTTGCCCATACAGATTTGATGCGCTGGTCCGTTCATTCCGGGAGGCTCCCGAAACCCCCCAATCCCCGAAACGCCAGGATCGTTGGAGACTTCGATTCGGCGCCGGAAGCAGTTCTTCAGGCTTATCGCTCCTTGATCAAACATCGGAATCTGAAGAGTTAACAAAGTCCTGCTTCTTGTCTCCATGCGGTCACACCTTAGAACAGCCCGCCCGAAGCCCCATCCTAAGCAACAGAGGTTCCCATTTCAGAGAAACACGGGTTGGGAGCTTCAGGCTGAGGAGAGTGGGCGTGGAGAGTATGCGGGCAGGGTGTGGAGCTTGGGTGCAGCGGTTTCCTTTGGCACAGGGCTCCGGGGTTTCGGGGTGTTGGTATGGCAGCTGCTCTGTGACTGAAGCTCTGCTTCTGGTCAGGTTCATTTCTGGGTTGTTCGACCTTATTGGGAATAGGCTTGTGTACATTAGTCGTGCACGGGCACTTAACAGGCCCCCCCGCCCCTAGTTATCCTAAATCAGTCCTCGCGTCGCCCCAAACCCCCGAAGCCAGAGTTCGTGAAAACAGATTCCGACGTGCACTGCCCAAAACAAAGGCGCGCAGCGGATGCGTTGTTCTGCGACAACACCCCGAGACTAGCCCTTGACCGGAAGTCCCCAACAAGCAAAAAACCCTGACCCTAAACGCAAAACCCTAAGCCCTGGAAGTGCACCAAGAAGAAGCCCTAAACCCGCTACCGAGGAGAGAAGGGGGTTGAGGTTCAAGACTTGTCACACGATCAAGACACTACCGATCTGGAGAAGTGCCTCCAAGCGGCAAAGGATCGCCTCTGTGCCTGTTTATTCCTATAGGATCCATGGTAGTTCCTTTTTGCGGGTTAAGTTATATTTCGAATCCTGTATGCCGAACAGGTAATCCCGAACAGGAACTACAATGGAGCCTCCGATATAGGGGCCTTTGTGATTAAATTGGGCTTTGGGCCCCTTTATGGTATAGTTATATTATAGGAAGCCTAATCAACGAATACTATTGGTAATTGTTTTTGTTTATGCTTCTATGGTATTCAGTCGTTGATGTGCCCCTGTAGAGCACACGATCAAGAACAATGCCGCTGCCTGACAGGGGTGTAGGTTGCACGGCAGCACGACCTAGGTCGAAAACTCTGAAAGGTCGCATGTAGATTTCTGAGGAGGCGGTTCACTGTCAACTCTCTAATCCTTCAGCCCTAAACCCAGACAATAAAGGCAAATCTTACGAAGCTTTTGTAGAGACTTCGGAAAAGCTCCTACAGCGGGAGGAAGCTGGCTGTGAGCGCGTTTGCGTCGTGGGACAGTTTGCCGGAGCCTCTGCTGCATACGACGGTTGGATGGCTATAACCTAAGTCAAAATCAAGAGCTTACCCTAAACCCCAAACCCTAAACCTTAGGGGCTGAGTAGGTAACCTTTAACCTTTTGGGGCTTATATAAACCTAATATAATTCAAAGGGTTATCCTTTTTTGGGCTAGGGTACTCGGCCCCTAAGAAACCCTAAACCGAATATTGCGGTCTGCCGGAGCTGTTGGGAAACGATTGCAGGGAGCAGTCATTGGAAGGCACACCGGCGGCTGTTAACGTTGCTTTTCGAGATAGTTCTTTCGGCTGCAGCTCCTTACAGAGCAAGCTAAAGGCATTGGAACCAGAACTCAGAACATCCCTCAAACCCTAAAGTCCTAATTGGAACCAGAACTCAGAACATCCCTCAAAACCCTAAGCTCCCAGTTGGAGCCAGGACTCAGAACATCCAAAACCCATGTCATTCCGAAGATCCCAGGTGTTGAGGGCCGCTTGGACCACACCTTCGCGGCGATGAATGCAATGCACAAAGCGGCGCATGTCCAGGACGGGTTACTCTGGTTTAGGCTTTAGGGGGTTTTAGAGTGTAGGGGTTGAGGATTTCATTGTGGGTGTCCATGATCCCCGTTTCTAGGGTCTATACTACCCGCGCTCAGGACCCCTGAATGCAAATTTTGCAGGAGATGCTGTCCCTGGTCCTCCAAATCTTTCTAACACTGTTACCATGGGCTCCTCCCTCAACCCTAAACCCTAAGCCTCCCTACATAGCGTTCAGGGTTTGGGCTTCATGGCTTTAACGCTGTATTTTAGGGTTAAGGGCTTAAAGGGAGTAAAGGGTTTCTGTTATTTAGGGCTGCAGGTCTTTAGTGTTACATAGGGTTATGGGCTTCATCGGGTTCAATCGTTTCTAAGATTTAGGGCTGCAAGGCTTCGGTGTTACATAGCCCTAAGGGTCCAAACAATCATTATTTAAGGACTTTGGGGCCAAAAACCATAAATAAGGACTACTTGGATTTAAGGACTTTGGGCCCAAAAAACCATAAAAACGGACTACTTGGACCCTTAGGGTAGGTCTTATGCTCCCGGCAGGAGATCTCCGTGGCCATGGTGAGCCCTTGTCTCAGCTTTATCGGGTCTCCCTGGGCCTCGAGGTTGGGTTCAGGAGGCATGAGTACTATTCTGTAGATTTAAGCGTTCAGTGATTAGGATTTAAATTGGGGTTAAGTGTTCAGAGTTTAGGATTCAGGGGGGGATTTTCGGTGTAGAGGTTTCCGGGTGAACAGACGGTTGTGGTGTGTAGTGGCTTTAGTTAGGCCGCTCCCTTCCGGATTTCCCGCCTTCCCTCAGTTCACCGGTCCTAGGCAGTATTCGGGAGAGCCCTTACAGGGGACCCTTCTTAAGCCCTACTTGCGGCTCTCTTATAAGAGGGACCTCACTGAGAGGGTCTACATTCCCAAGAGTCCTCCTAATCGTAACTCCCATCGATACTACTTCATTCCTCAGTTCAGCTGCTAGGATCCTTATGATAGCTATAGTACAATATGCCCCGAAACCCTGTTCGAATTATTAAGGCACCTGTATCACTACTTCATTCCTCAGTTCAGCGGGTAGGGTCCTTGGAACAGAGACCCTTGGCCCCCAAACCCGAGGCCAAATCCGTGAATGCATCAGAGCCCCAGACTGAGGCTATAAGGACCCTTCTGAGCGGCCATGATGTGCAGAATCATAGGAACACAGCTTTTGGTGTCAACACGGGGCAAGCAGCCAAGAGAATTTCAGGATGAGGATTTCAAATTATTTTGCCGGCGGGACAGTGCTCTGACGTGTCAATGTTAGTATCTAGCTTTACGGAAATTTGAACCTAAATACCGGACTCGTTTTGTGGCCTTGATGCTGCTAGCTGGTCTCTTCAGAGAATTTCCGAAAGTGCTGCATCATACTTAAATTCCTGTGCTCAGACCCCAAATTGTGCCTCTATGAACCCTAGAGCCGTATCCCTAACCATATCCTGACCTCCAAGTACGCCCTTATCCTTAAACCTGTCTTGAATTAAACCCTAGACCTTATGGCTAAACGGCTAAGCCTATTATCCTAAACTCTAAACCCAAGGCCCTCAACAACCCTAAACCTTGTCCCTAAACCTGTAATCCCCAACCCTGGAGGCTCTAGCTCTCCGCTTCAACCGGTCTGCAGGTGACGATTGCATCTGTGCCCTGCTTCGCGAGGTTGCCGGGAAGTGGGCAGAGGATACGGTTCTGGGTTGAGGATTGAAGGTTTAGGGTTTAGATTAGGGCGGCTCTTGGTTTAAGGTTCAGGGTTTAGGGTGTAAGGTTCAGTGCTTTGCGTGTAGGTGTAAGAATTCAGAATCGAGTAGCCCAATGCTTTTTCTCACAGAGCTGTATACCTGAACCATGAAGCATGGGTCTTCATCGACTCGGGTTCGTGTCATCATTGCTTCCGGCGTTTTTTGTTGCCGTTGTGTTGCCGGTCTTGCTGTTCCGACGAATGCCATGCTCCGCAACGTGGCGTGCTAGGATGCTGGGTGTCAGGCTGATGGAAGTGCATCGGAAGAGACACCAAGGTGTGTTTGACCACTTCATCTTACGAGGTTCTGAGATGACCTCAACTCAAAGCTTCAAGTCAGCAGAGTCTGACTTCCGAGTTCGTAGTTGTCGTGGTGCTGCCTTAATTCGGTTTTACCCTCAACGAAATATGGATTTTCGCAAGTTGTGCTAGCACAAGGGCCTCGGAATGCATTTTTCATGAGTCTCGGCCTACACCATAAAGCAATGGGTTTGGATGGATGATTTTTGCTGCCTTAGGCAGTGCTTAGCCCTCACAATCAGTCGTTGATAGCTGATGGCCGCAGTAAGCGGCATTCGATGTGACCTTGTCGCAAGATACATGCGCGCCTTCACACTACTGCACGGCCAACCCTAAACCGCATACACCTCAAACCAGAACCAGAGGATCCATGGGCCCAAATTCGGGAAAACTTTAAACCCCCAAAGTACCGACATAGGGACTACGTACTTTACGGCCAAAGTAGAAAATATTTGGGCACATGGACCCTAGAAGGGAGAGAGCCGAGCCTCCCTCCCTCTCTCTCGCTCGCGCTCTCTCTCTCTCTCTCTCTCTCTCACTCTCACTCTCTCTCTCTCTCTATATATATATATAAAGATAGATAGATAGTTAGATTAGATTAGATTAGATAGATAGGTTAGATTAGATAGATAGAGACCTTTCCTTTGCAGCAAACCTGCAGGGCCGCCACCGGCTCGGTGGTTTCGCCGCGCCTCCCAGCAGCTGCGGCCTCGCCCCTCGAAAAAGAAAATGCGACGCTTTTCAGATTTTTGTTCGCTTGTCCTGTTTGTTTAATGGTTCATGAAGGGTTTTATGCAGCTTTGTAGAGCTATACTTTGTAGGTTCATCAAGGGATCTGGTTTCTACAGAGGTCGGGACGTATCCAGGGCTGTTTTTTGCTAACCATTTTTTTATGTCTTGCTGATGTTGTTCATGTTCACTCATACGAGTTCCCGTGGTTCAGAGGATTTTGCCCGTGTCCTGATGCAGAGGTTCCGCTGGGCGGCCCTGCACCTTGGCGACGGAGCTAATGAATTACTGGTATTTCAGCACTCACTGAAATCTTTCAGTTGTGAGGGTTTCCGCCCAGCGGGTATGGCGCACGGCGTAAGGTTCAGAGTGTGGGTTGCGAAGCCGTCGTTCCGGCTCAATCAACAACCTGCTGGCTTTCTCTAACTTACTGTTGTATGCTACATCATGCGCAGCGACTGCCGTTTATGTTATTCGTTGAGATGAGAGTGTCGTGTGACAGCGCCCACGCAAAACCCTACGCCCAATGTAGCTTGACCGTTCTGGCCCTGAACCCATATGATCCTAACCCCTAAACCCTAAGCTTTCGCTAAACCCTGAACACTTTAAGCCATTTGAAACAAGTGACGGCGCTCCCTGGCATGAGGTCAAGGCATCGACGAAAGGCTTGCAATGGGATGTGGAGGACCGCCAGCTGAAAGCATCCTGCAGACACTGGTCCCTCCATGCTGTAGCAATTAACCTTAAGTTTTGTTGGGTTTCTTCAATCCTAGTCCAGGTTGCTCTGGTTCGGGCCAGGCTATATGAGTCAACGGGCGGTTCTACGAGCCAGGTGTCCCCATAATGAAGTTCCGAAAGAAAGAGTCCCTATGTTTTAAAGAAATGTAAGGCCTGCACGTGTTTCAATTCTGAATTTGTTAGCAACCCAAAAACCCGAAGCACGGTTGCCCACATCCAACCACCTACTCACCTGAATGTCAAAATCCTGGAACAACCGCCTGGCGTCAATCCCTGAACTTCAATTAGGTATGCCATGCTGCAGGATTTCGAGTTTGGTGCTGCTTATAAGGTCAGTAGGTTCAGGGTGTGGTGCCGTGTGTGTGGTCGACGGTTTTGAGGTTTTCGGCCATACAACCATTTTAAAAACCTTTGTATTACAAATCCCTACATCCACCCTTTCATCGGACCTTTGACTTTCAGAACCCCTCATCGAACCTTTGCAAACCTGTGTAAAGCCCTATAGTCTAAGCCTGTACAAGCCTTTGTAGAACCCATCTGAAGACCTCGCAATAAAACCCTTGCTTCCCACTTATAGAACTGGTATAAATCCCACACCGCAAGCCTGTAGTAAAACCCCGAATAGAAGCTCCATAACTCCATATACAACCCTGTTGCACCCCATACTGAAACCATTTAACACCGTTATAACCCCCTGTTAAAGCTTCTAGAACTGATAATGAACCTCCCGCTTAAAGCTTTGCAAGACTACCCTTTCCTACCCCCTGGTAAATTTTTCGCAAGCCCTAAACAAACCTTTTGGGATACCTTGGATCCACGCCCTTGCCTGAATCGCGTTGGGGGTCAGTGCTTAGCTTTGCGTCCCTTGTTATAGTTGCAGGCAAGACGCGCTTTTGGTTTCACGCCGACCCGTACCTACGAACCTCGCCTGGCATGTCCGAGTTGTGAGAGCCTAAACCCGAAAGCCGACAGAACAAATCAAGCTGCGCAGCGCAGAGGATGCAGATCTGGAGTGGGGCGGTTCTTGGCCTCAGCTTCGACTCCGGTCCAGGGTTTTGGGTTTGTGGCTGTAGGGTTTTTTGGCATTTGGGGCAAGAGGGTTTCTTGAACTTTAGGGTCTATGGCTATAGGGTTTTGGGGAGTTGGGGTTTTGGGTTCAGGATTTTGGTGTGTTGGGGTTTAGGGGTTTAGGGTTTGGGGGATTTATGAGTCTAGGGCTCAGCGTTTAGGGTTTGTACAGAGTCTTGAGTCATTGAGCTAGAGCGGTAGTCCAGGATTTCCTTTGGCTAAACCATGTTTCGGATTACTTAGGGTCAGATGGCCAGGAAGGTGGGCGTTGGTGGTTTGCAGCGTCTTTCCCAAACTCACCTGAAGTTTTGGCATGAGGCTGACAGTGAAAATTTAGAGCTGTGACATTATCTAAGGCTCAGAAGCTGTAAGCTGTACTTAGAGGTTCAGAGGCCGCAGCATTTAGGATAGTTTGTACCTCAGTTCGGGTATCAGTAGATATAATTAGAGTACTTTGTTCATATAACCCATTTTGCTAACTTTCCTGATCCTGCAAGTTTGGTTTAATTTAAGGGGTCAGAGTTGCACACGGGGACACCCTAAACCCCCTCCTGAGGTCTCATCAGCACCAGCAACTGCTTGGACTCGAATGGCGATGGCTTCGTGTGGGTTGATACGACCGGACCTCTCTTATGGAAACCCGGCGCAAGCTTTCGGTTGTTGGGCTTGGCGCTTTTAGGGTTTGGGAATCAGGGTTTGGGGCTTGGGGTCCCCGCCTTTGGCCCTCGTGGTGGGTAGGTTCAGCCCATGTGCATGAAGCCGGGTGTGGAGGAAGTTCGAGTGGGTTGCAGCTTTGAGGAGTTTGTTTTGTTCGGATTTGGCAGGTAAGTAGGCGCAAGAAGAGTGCATGCGCCTAGGAAGTGGGAGTTAAGTCCTATTCGTCTACACATCCCAACTAGACATGTGTATTTAATTGAAGATATGTTGTTTCAAGCCTCAGGTCCGGATCCAGCCATGAACACCCAAACTCCTCAATTCCCCTTAGCTATACCCTGAGCCTTCAGCCTCTCAGCGCACCAGCTTTACTCAGGATGTGCAGCCGAGCACGCCCGAAAGTGGAATGAACAAACAGGGCCGCTGCAATCCGAATCGCGGCGCTCTGCGACATGTCTAGCTGTAGCTTGTAAACCCTAAACCCACAGGGTTCAGGTATGTTCCACCCCCCTGCCTCCGAACCGATACAACACATTTTACGGTTTAGAGTCAAAGTTTAGGGTTCAGGGAGGGGTGTTGAGTTTAGGGCTTATAGACGTACAGAGATATTCGAATGGATCTCCTTGCCAAAGTGCCATAGTGGCAGAGACTCGGGTTGCGCGCGTGTGTGTCCTTCATGTTGTGATTTGTTGACCACCTTCCGCATCTGTGATTACTACTATACTGCTGTTACCTATGGTAACTGCCATTGCGATGGCTATTCCTGCCATTGCAAGCATGCGCTTTTTGATCCCTTGCCCCTCCGCAGTTCGCCTTGTGCAGCACGACGCAGCAGCTAGACCTCCCTGCCCAAAAACCGCACTCTTTGCAACCATGGGCATGGTCTTCGGCATCATTCACGAGGAGCCTTTCAGGGCTCGGATGCGCTCAGGTTTTCTCATTTCTGCTCTTGGGATGTGGCCGCTCCGGTTCTGCAGGAGCTCTCCAGTGAGCATCAGGTCAGCAGCATTGAAGGCATCAAGAGACGAAGAGGTAGACAAGTCATCAAAATTCGCGAGGAGAGAAGTCTCAGGAGCTAGCGCGAAACCCAGGAGGCCTGCAGCAAGACGGCTGCGTGCTCGCAGTGCATGCAAAGCCCTGCATGAGTGTAACTAAGCCCCTAGCATCTCCAACCCCGCTGCTCTTCCAGGCCCTTAGCTCCTGCCCATGTAGACCTGAGCTCTGAGTCCGAAAGCCTAAAGCCCAAACCCTAAACCCTAAACCCTGAACCCTAAACCCAAACCCTAGCCCCAATCACCAAACACGAGATGGCAGGAGATGCCTGAGTACAAGATGCTTGGCAGCCCTTGGAGTGATCGCTACTCTGTAGCCCTGAAACCCAGACCCGAAAGCCCAAAACTGAAAAAGTAGTGATGTCGAGAGGGCAACTCACTACTCTTTGAGTCTAGGTTTCAGGGTTAAGAATCCAGGAAGTTGGGTTTAGGCCTGAGACCTTCGAGCTAGGTTAGGATTCATGGGGCAGGGCTTGGTGGTGTCAGCCCCGAAGGGTCTCTTGACACCCCTCGTCCGACCTCCCAATGCGTTTAGGGTTTGGGTTTAGGGTCTGCAGGCGTGCCCTAAGGAGTACCTGGAGTCAGAGGATCAGGATTTGGTAAGTAGGATTGATTATGGGTCTAAGACTACAGCAGTTGTAGCGAAATGTAATGCCGCTTCACTTTTCAAGGCTCGAAGCTTTCATTGTCGGCTAAGAGCCCTTGGGGCTTCGGTGGGACTCCTTTCATGATAAAGACCCACATATGCTTCAAGGGATTGTGCTGGAAGAGCCATGAAGCATGATCCCACTACGATTTCTTGTTTTTTTTACGGTTTCGAAGCATGAAAACATGGCTTTGAAGATGTTTGCGGCCTGTGTTCTGCAGACATTTTGGCCTTGAAAGTTTCCGATCATGTTGTCCCCTAAAACGCCAAACTGTAAACACTCAGATCTAAACCCGAAACCTGCCGGAGCCCAAAAAACAAACCCGAAACCCTACTCCAAACGCTAAAACCTGCTTGAACCCTATCACACGAGAAACGCGTATCAAGCCATCCTCAGGCCATGGACCCCCCCGCAAGCTACAGCTAGCCTGAGGCATAGAAGCCTTAGGAGACCCAGGAATCCCTTTAAAGGAACCCTGAAACGGAAGTCTGCAACCGAAGCCCCTAAAGAAGCCCCTGGAAGGAATCCGTAAGGAGAGGATGCTTCCTTTTTGGGGGGGTTTTGGGGGGAAAATCCTGCGAGGATGCACGGCACCGTGGGCGGCATGCAGTGCCGGGAGTATGCACCCTCCTGGGTCGCGAAGGCCGGCTTTCCCTGGTTTTTTTTTTGGGGGGGGGTTTAGGGTTCGGATTAGGGCTTAGGGTTTAGTTTAGAGCTTTTCTTTCTTTCTTCAGGGGGTTTAGGGTTTAGGGTTGCAGGGCAGGGTTTCTGTGCACCCATTCGGTCTTGCAGAGGGCCTCGTCTTACTAGTCTATACTTAGTAATACTTCCGGAAGCCTATGGCCCAAACCTGTAGCCCCCAAACCCAGGCCTCGAAGCCATGCACACTTCAGTCATTTCTTCGAGAATCGTGACTGAACTGCGCGTGCCTGGCTTCCACTGACATGAGAGTCCTTGGTGGTATCAAAGAGTCTCCGGCAGACCTTTCAACCCGGAGAATGCAGAGGCTCAGGTCTTCCACGCCTTGTCCCTGAAGGGCATTGTGTCGAAGTTGCTGAGGTGTGTTCCGACGACTACCCAGATGCCAAGACGGAAGCTTGAACCTGCATTCATTCGGGAGCAGCCTTGTGTTGAATGCATCTCCTACCTGTACCCATGAGATCTTGGCATAGGCTGCAGATCCTGCGCGTCAATCTGACGGGCAGGTTGCTTCCGTGGCCCTGCCCCAAGCCTGTCTGGCAATCTCCTATGTCCGACAAGTGACATACCGCGGTCCACGACCCTAGTTGGAACCTACCTAACCCAGTCCGCCAAGCTATACAGACCAAACCCTCAGGGTCCATGTAGTCAAACAGTAAGTACATCATGGGCCCAAGGCACTTCCTACCTGGCACCTTCTGGGCCCAAGTATGAAGAACCATGACTGAGCCAAGCTGAGTGCATTGATTCCAAGGAAAAACTCCCAGCAAGTCCCTCCGCAGCTCTGAGTCCCTAAACCCTAAACCCCTAAACCCTAAACACACTCAGGAGAAGAAGTTCATGAACGAAGCCTTCTGGACCCTTGCTGGGTACATCGGTGCCGTTTCGGAGCCAAAGAGCCTTTCCTTGCAGAGAGCTGCCCAAGACTCCAGGTTTGCGGCGGCTTAGGCAGTTTAGGGTTTAGGTTTAGGGTTTGGGTTTAGAGTTGAGGGTTTAGGGTTTAGGGTTTAGGTTTAGAGTTTAGGGTTCAGGGTTTGGGGTTAGGGTTGAAGACTTTGCGTGTAGAATTCAGGAGTCGGCCTCATACTGATTCCGAGAGCTTGGTGCAGTGTTTGTTCGGCCCGATGCCCTTTGGTGTTTGGGATAGAATGCTGCAGGAAAGTTTCCAGGCTCGCTGTTACATCTTGGGGCTGTGTACTGTCTTGCCAGTGCTTTCTCGCAAGCCCACAGAGGAACCAATCCATGAAGACGAGCGACAAGGAGGCAGTGGCTCCAAAAACGTAGATTCTGGATAGTTCAGGTAGGGCTTGGTTTCAGGAACCTCGGGTTCAGAAACCCCTTAGCTTTAGAGGCTATCAGCATCACATTTTATTCCGGCTTCCTGTGGCGTGAGTGCTTCAAAAGCCGTGGTTCCGAGTATACCGTACCCCAGGCCTTGAGCCCAGAGTTGCGAAGCTGGCACAGTAAGAAAGTTGTGTCATAGTATAGAACCCTAATCGAACTGTTAAGGCCATAAATAAGGTGTGCGAGGTGACAATGTGGTTCCGATGGTACAGAAGTTTCAACCCTTCACGAGCTGCTAAACCCTGAGTTCCCACCGACAATGTACGAAGTAACCCGAGGACAGTCGCAGTTCCCCAGTCTTTGCTTACGTGCCTGATCAGCTCAGCACAAACATCTGTCAAGCGAGCAGTAATCCTGAGTTAATGGCTGGATGAACAACACGCTCTAACTCTGTCCTTGATGTCCACGATGACCAGAGAAAGGCTTGGAGTGTTTGGCTTCAAAAACTGCAGGACTGGGTGTCACACTGCTCCGCAAGGTAGACCCCTCCTGAATAGCAGAAACCCCCCATCCCCGACAAAAGGTAATGATGGGATCCTAATAAGATCAGGGCCTTTGTAAAAAATGCGAGTCGGTGTATCAGAGGTTTACTGAAAGACTGATGTATAGATGCCCCTAGCACTAACGTCACTAAAACCTGACACCCTTCACGGCTTGCGTTCGTTCCAACATGGGGTGTCCTTAAGGTAGCGTTCAAGGTCTGAGGATTTACAGCCAAGCTTTCCGTGAATGCACGCTATGCTTTCAAAATGAGATCATTCTGACAAGGGCATCTATCTAAGCATGAGCACCTACTGGGGTCTGTTTGGGTCGTTCATCCGGCCCTCGAAGTAGGCGATTGCAATGACCGCTCCCGTGGTCATGTCCAACAACGAGAAGATCGCAATGACGGCACCAGTGGCAACCTGGCAGCTACAAAAAGCCCGAATGCTTGGGCTTCAGAAGGTTAGAGCTTTGGGTTTAGGGATTTAGGGTTCGTAAGTCATATAAGGTTTGAGGAAGTTTAGATTTGGGGCTTGGAGCTTAGGTTTTGGAGGGGTTCCGGGATCAAGGCCGTCCCTCGGGCTTAGAATAGGCTCGAGCTTTGAGCGTTTAGGGTTTCGGTTCAGGGTCTAGGGCCTAGGGATTTGGGCTTTAGCGATGATGTTTCAGCGTGAAGGGTTCGAGTTTCTTATCGTAGCAGCCTCGGAAAAGGAACGGGACCCCAGT